AAGTCTGATAGCAAAGGCGACTGAGTGATGTAAAATATGGTGTTTTTTATTCATTTTTGCCTTTACTTTATCTTGATAATATTTGGATAACTTATGGTTGCAATAAATAATGTACTTTTTGTCTTACCCCTCCACATAATAGTCAAATTTTATTTATTTTCATTAATTTTTTAATTAAAACAATTTTATTTTTTTTCTAAAAAAGCGTCTATTTACTACTTGAAAGTTGGGTCGTTTCCAAATCAAAGAAAATCATAAACATTTTATTGCTTACAAAAAAGAAGAAAAGACAAAAAAAAAAAAAAAAAGGTTCCCAAAAATGTATATTTTTGTGGTGCTACTAAAAACATTGTTTTTGTGGCGCTTAAATCCTGAAGCTTCATATTTTTTCATACTCCCTAGAAATAAAACAACTTTAAGCTTCTCTTTTTTATCTACCGGTGTGTCAGCAAAAAGATCGTAGGTAACACCCCGTCCTCTTTGTTCAAATCAAAATATTTTCTTTACTAAATTCTTTGATATAATTGACCCCTAAGTTACGAACCCACTTCCCAAACTTCGATTTTTTCCTTTGCATATATTTTATATATCGATTTTGATTCCAGGTAGATATGGCTTCTATTACTGCAAGCTTGCCTCCACCATTATTGATGCCTGGAAGAAAAACCCTTCAAAAGGTCGCGCCTTCACCGATTAGAGGTAAGCTTGGCCCTCTCCATTGCACTTTATTGGTAATTTGACTCTACTTATTAACTTGAGTAGCCCTTTCCTGATTGATCCTGTTTTACCTTTTGTCGTTGCAGGGTAATTTTTTCTTTTCTTACACCAACTTGATGTGATGCGTTTGTATATATGTTCATTGAAACTGCGTTGGGAGATACTTAGGTGAACTTTTTTAGTAGGATAGAGATTTTGGTTCTGCTACTTGAGGCCATAGCAGAAAGGATACATCTCTAAGAGTGTTTCAATTAGAAGCAATGGACGCAAAATTTTGAATTTCAGACACTATTTCTGTTATCCATCTTTTACTTGAATGTCCGATGAAGATTTCAAAATCAATGGAAGTTTTGCACGAGTTGTTTGATGAAAAATGTTAAGTTTGATAGGAAGTCTTGATAGTTACCTTGGTTTGGCTGGGAAAAGAAAGAGACTGATGTAAAATATTTGTGAAAGTAAATATTTGTGCCCTGTGCTCTTTGAAATTTTACTGACTG